TGGCTACGAAGTGGGTGGTGGGTGGGTTTTGAATTTCTTCATCGTCCATATCCCAACCTTGCTGACCGTAGTCCGGCTAGGGCTCTCCTGATAAAGAGAGAGACTTTAGAGAATTCAGGATGTCGCCGAAGGGTGAGTGCTGAAAGATGTCCGCGGCGGTGAACTCCATTATCGGCGCCCGATCGGATTCGATCGGCGGGGGCGCGGGGGGCTCGGAGTTCGGAGAGGAATCCGGCTCCTCGGAGTCACAGGCCATGCGGAGTGCGGGGCTGGAGTTCGGCTCGATTGCCTCTGAGATCGCAGCCCCTGAGGCAGCGTCCAACTGCTGATCCTTGATTGGCACAGTGGGCTTCGAATCAATGGTCGGAACCGATGCGTGTGCGGCCTCCAAGGCGCTGTTCGGCGGCAGAGCTATATCATGCCCATCGAGACAGTGCGGCACGCTTGGCTGTGGCTCGAATCCGTCGAAGATCAACTCCCCGCGGATGTCAGCCGTGTAGTTTAGGCTTCCAAACCTGACCTGATGGCCAGGGGCATAACTTTCGATCTGCTCAAGGTGACCAAGCGAGTTGGCCCGCAGTGCGAAGCCGCCGAAGACGAAGATCTGTCCAGGGAGAAAAGTCTCACCCTGGACTGCATCGTGGTTGATGATTGAAGAAGCCATCGGGCCTGAAAGTGACGACACAGAGGAACTCTCAATGAAAGCACCAATGTCGGTGTCAAAACCGGCGGATCTCGGGTAGGGGGTCCCGAACTGTGCGTCTAGGCCGGATGGTAACAGGAGACAAGGGACACAATGTTTTACCCAGGTTCGGGCCCTCTCGATGGAGGTAAAACCCTACGTCCTGCTTGATTAATATTGATGATATGTGTAGTACAAGAGTAGATCTACCACGAGATCAAGGAGGCTAAACCCTAAAAGGTAGCCTATGGTATGATTGTTGTATGATGAAGTTGTCCTACGGACTAAAACCCTCCGGTTTATATAGACACCAAAGAGGGTTAGGGTTACACAAAGTCGGTTACAATAGTAGGAGATCTTGAATATCCGCATCGCCAAGCTTGCCTTCCACGCCAAGGAAAGTCCCATCCGGACACGGGACGGAGTCTTCAATCTTGTATCTTCATAGTCCTAGAGTTCGGCTGAAGGTATAGTCCGGCTACCCGAACACCCCCTAATCCAGGACTCCCTCAGAGGCCATGGCTTTTCTATTGACAGTACTCCTGCTTGACTGGTTTACCCACCATTCCTTACTAGAATCCTCGAGGTGCCAAGTTGAAGTGTCATGGTTTTCTAGATTGAGGCACTCATTGACCAAATTCCAAAGGTGTAGGGTGAACCGACTGTTGGGGAACGTAGCATAATTTTAAAATTTTATACGCATCACCAAGATCAATCTATGGAGTCATCTAGCAACGAGGGAAAGGGGAGTGCATCTACATACCCTTGTAGATCGCGAGTGGAAGCGTTCAAGAGAACGGGGTTGGTGGAGTCGTACTCGTCGTGATCCAAATCACCGATGACCAAGTGCCGAACGGACGGCACCTCCGCGTTCAACACACGTACGATTGGGAAGACGTCTCCTCCTTCTTGATCCAGCAAGGGGAAGGAGAGGTTGATGGAGATCCAGCAGCACGACGGTGTGGTGGTGGAAACAGCGATGATCTCGGCAGAGCTTCGCCAAGCTCCAACGAGAGAGAGAGAGGTGTTACGAGGGGAGAGGGAGGGGCCAGGGACTTGGTGCGGCTGCCCTCCCTTCCCCCCACTATATATAGGGCCCCTAGGGGGGCACCGGCCCTATGAGATGGGATCTCCAAGGGGGGGCGGCGGCCAAGGGGACTTGCCCCCCAAGCCAAGTGGGGCGCCCCCCACCCCTAGGGTTTCCATCCCTAGGCGCAGGGGGAGGCCCATGGGGGGGCACACCAGCCCACCAGGGGCTGGTTCCCCTCCCACTTCAGCCCATGGGGCCCTCCGGGATAGGTGGCCCCACCCGATGGACCCCCAGGACCCTTCCGGTGGTCCCGGTACAATACCGATTACCCCCGAAACCTTCCCGATGGCCAAAACTGGACTTCCAATATATAAATCTTCACCTCCGGACCATTTTGGAACTCCTCGTGACGTCCGGGATCTCATCCGGAACTCCGAAAAACTTTTGGGTTACCGCATACTAATATCTCTACAACCCTAGCGTCACCGAACCTTAAGTGTGTAGACACTACGGGTTCGGGAGACATGCAGACATGACCGAGACGACTCTCCGGTCAATAACCAACAGCGGGATCTGAATACCCATGTTGGCTCCCACATGTTCCACGATGATCTGATCGGATGAACCACGATGTCAAGGATTCAATCAATCCTGTATCCAATTTCCTTTGTTATTCGGTACGTTACTTGCCCGATATTCGATCGTCGGTATCCCAATCCCTTTTTCCATCTCGTTACCGGCAAGTCACTTTACTCGTTCCATAAAACATCATCCCGTGACCAACTATTTAGTTACACTGAGCTCATTATGATGATGCATTACCGAGTGGGCCCAGAGATACCTCTCCGTCATACGGAGTGACAAATCCCAGTCTCGATTCATGCCAACCCAACAGACACTTTCGGAGATACCTGTAGTGTACCTTTATAGCCACTCAGTTACGTTGTGACGTTTGGCACACCCAAAGCACTCCTACAGTATCCGGGAGTTGCACAATCTCATGGTCTAAGGAAATGATACTTGACACTTAGAAAAGCTCTAGCAAACGAACTACACGATCTTGTGCTATGCTTAGGGTTGGGTCTTGTCCATCACATCATTCTCCTAATGATGTGATCCCATTATCAATGACATCCAATGTCCATGGTCAGGAAACCGTAACCATCTATTGATCAACGAGCTAGTCAACTAGAGGCTTACTAGGGACATGTTGTGGTCTATATATTCACACATGTATTACGATTTCCGGATAACACAATTATAGCATGAACAATAGACAATTATCACGGACAAGGAAATATAATAATAACCATTTTATTATTGCCTCTAGGGCATATTTCCAACACCGATACTTACCGAAAAGGTGCAACCCGGACTCTTGTTCCCTTTTGCAGAGATCAAAGAACAACAAAGCAAGGACACACATGATTCCTTAGGGCATCTCCAACGCTAGTCCTTAAACGGACACCACAATTGTCCTCTTTTTTTCACCCGGGCGTGATCCGTGGACATGATGCCGGAGGGAGCCCTCCAGCCCTTAATCACAAAAAAAAATCCTTTGTCCGGTTAGGAGGAGAAAGAAGAGGGGGGACTATGCATGTGGTGGATATGTGGGTGTGGTGTGTGATTGGGAGGGGAGAGAGAAAAGAGAGGAGGATTCTGTGGGGCTTTTTCTTGGTCAAGTGGATGTCCAGACACTCACAAAGCTCCCCCAATTAGGTTCCGGTTTGCGGGGAAAATGATGTCCGGACCACTCCGCAAACCAATAGGGGGGCTCCATTGGATTACAAAAGTTGACAAAAGTGATCCGGACACCACAATTCAAACATATGTCGGAGCTTTGAGGGTTTTGAAGCTGCCCTCATTTCTTTTTATATTTACTAGTTGATAAAAACCATTACAGGTAGTAGTGTATGGACTAATTAAAAGCCGAACTAAGTGTACAGATTAAACGCTCTCCACGCACACCGCAAGACAAAAGGAAATATCTGTCCTACACCACCGGGTACATATATTTTTTATGATAAAGAGCACTTTTATTAGGGCACCGCTACGCGTCTCCCGGCGGATGTATTAAAAACATCCGCTGCATGGAGCACCGTTGGATGAGCGCCCTGACAGCTATCTGATCTAACCATCGCACGTGCGTGACCATCTCCCTACTTCCTGCAACAGTCGCTCAGTTTCGGAAACAGAATCCCCTCACCGTCGTCCTGCCACAGCTTTGCCCAGCGCGGTGGCAGTCGCCACCACCGCCCAATCGCTGCCACCGGCGCACCAGGGAAGTAGTCCTTGTCGTGCTGGCCGGAGTTGCTGCTCCTCCTCCGTCTCAGCCCCGCGAGCAGTTGCTAGCTCCAATCGAGCACGACAGCGGCGACCTCTCACACCCGACGCTTCTTCGGCGTTTTTTGCAACCAGAGCTATGTTTTCAAAACATGCCTCATGTTGCAATATCTGACCACTTACTCTCTATCGTCGGGCGCTCGTGCGGCGCTGCAACTCGGGCTATGTTTCTAAAACAAGACCCTTGTTGCAGAAAAAAACATTCACAATAGAAACAATTCCTTTCTTTCTGAAACAATAGATATGTTGCAGAAATCTTTTGAAACAAGACCCAGTTGCAGAAAAAAAAAACCTTCACCACTGAATCGTTTTTCCTTTCTTTCTGAAACTAGTCCTGTGTTGCAGAAATCAGCTGAAACAAACCCTTATTGCAAGAAAACGACTCGTCGTGCGGGACTACCTTGTTGCCAGCGTGGCTGCTTGATCAGGATTGATCTAACGGCTACGCAAGCGGCGGACGCTCGTGCGCGCATCAGCCGGTTGAAGATAAGTTTTTCCCCTTTTATTAACTCAAATAATGTCGCATCAAACAGATACACAAAGATACATTGTTTAGTCTCTTGGCGCCATGTTTGCATTGCTTTCCTGTCTTGGTCCTTATCGTCGGCCACGCGCTGCATTTAGCTCCCGGTTCACGGCATCGTTGTCACTGTTCAACTAATTCACGCAGCATGACAGGATAGAAAGTTAGACAACGCACAAGCTAAACGTCTAGAAAATTAACCTACAGTAGAGCATTCTGAAAGAAAATAGAGAAGCCAGAGCACGAGCAGACCGTTGTTGCCGCCGTGGTGTCAGCTGCGGAGGAGGGTTGGGCTGGTGCAGTTGAAGCAGCTGCCGATAGGGATTCGTCTTGTCATAATTCACGCTGTCAACGCACAACGATTGGACAGATAAAGCTAAGTGTAAAATAGCAAGAAAAGAGACAGAGAGGGATGCTGATCCTCAAAGGAAGGTAGGGAATGATGAGCAAACCTTGTTTGTGATTGTGAATTCGACGCCTGAGCTGCAGAAAAAGATTGTGAGTTCGTCGTAGTAGAGGTTGGCCTGCTGCCAGTCCCAGACCCAGTGGTCGCCTGAGTGTTGGACTCCACCGGCGGACCACGCCACAAATCTCCGACCCTCGCATAATTCCTCGGTAGAACACAGCGGGCAGAATATCATCGGCGTTCCTTCTGAACCCTCCTCCCCTAGCCGCTCCAAACTCTCCCACGGCTCCAGCTCCCTGGACTCCACCACCGTACAACAATCCTGCTGGGATCGGTCCTCCGAGGGCACCTGCGAACGCTCTCACGGCTGCAGCTCCCATGCGTCCACCACCGCTCCCTCCCACCGGGAACTGTCCTCCGCCCGCACCTACAAACCCTCCTCCGCCTGCCACTGGCCTGGCTCCGCCACCGTACCCGCCCACCGGGAACTGTCGTCTGGCTGCTCCTCCGCCTGCAGCTGGCCTGGCTCCGCCACCTCCTACTTGGAACTGGTACTGTCCTCCTACGCCTGCACCCACGGCTGCAGGTCCCCTGGACCCAACACCATTCCCTCCCCTACCTCCGATCGCTCGCCCAGCAGCACCACCATTCCCTCCCTTGCCTGCACCTGCAAACGCCTCCCTACCTCCGAAAACTGGTTCATCTCCTCCTGGCATCGTACTACTCGAGCAGTACTTAGCTAAGGTCGATCGTAAGGTAATCGTGAGACGATAGTATTTCTGCAAAGTGAGTGGTGGCGCTTTACAAGAGTGTTGAATGATGAGGAACGCCTCCGGTGCACGGATTTATAGGGTCGACCGTCGCCCCTCACCACGCCGCTTGACCAAATTGAGCCAGTCCGTTCTTCATATCATATTGTTTTGGACGGCACATATCTATTAGCCTATGGCCCATGAATCGACGAGATCAGGACTAGATCACGGTCACGGATGATCCCTTACCTGCTCAGTTGCCAGTGATGGATCATTAGAATACTTTCCCACAAGCCAACATGGATTTGGATTACTCCACTAGAGAACACTTGGCTGCTTGGCCAGAGCCCAGAACGTTGTGTGAACCCGCAGTTTCGGCGCCTTGACCCGAGGCGGCGTCGTTGATCGTCAACGTTGCCTTTGCCGCGGCAGCCAACCACCCACGACGCGGCTCAAAGCTCGGCAAGCAGCTGAGTATAGTAACACAAGCTCCAACGTACCCCATACACTACTCGTCGGCCGATTCAGACCCAATCCATCAAGCAGCTTCCTTCCTCCCCGTTGTGCTATTTTAATTAGGAGTGTCATTCTGCCATGCACTAGTAGAAAAAACCCCATTCGTCCCGGTTGGTAAGGGTCTTTTGTCCCGGTTTGTGAACCGGGACTAAAAGGTCGTTACTAATGTCCTAACCCTTTAGTCCCGGTTCTTACACGAATCGGGACAGATGGGCCTTCACGTGGCCGGTGTGCCGAACCCAGGCAGGAGGGCCTTTGGTCCCGGTTGGTGGCACCAACCGGGACCAATAGACATCCACGCGTCAGCATTTCAGGGGCTGGGGTTTTGTTTTTTTAAAGGGGGGTGTTAGGGGTTTAATTTAGGTGTTTCATATATTATTGTGTTAGCTAGCTAATTAATAGAGAGAAGTGTCCTCTCTTATGTCCGTGCTTGGTCAACGCTATATATACGTATATATAGAGAGGACCAGACACGCTAGCTAGTAAGAAAATGAAGGAAACAGAAGATCGTCATGAACATATGCATACAGAGAGAAGTGATATCGACCACCTCTCCTTCTCCGAGAAATTGGTCGAACAACAAGTTCTCGTATATCTATCCGACACTACCGGCTACATATATACAATAATTATCTCTTACAATGTAATTAATGTCCTAATTATATATGAACACAGGGTCCATATAGTATTCTCCGTCTTCAGCGATCACGTGGTCAAGGAAGAATGCCGCCAATTCCTCTTGAATTGCTCGCATACGATCTGGTGCTAGGAGTTCGATCATCCCGCATCCGAAACATCTAATTTGAACAAGAGGGTCAATACATACATATATATATATATATATATATATATATATATATATATATATATATATATATATATGAATAAATGAAACTCAACACAAATGATGGTAATAAAATAAAATTGTGAATATTATTGCTTACGCACTTCATATTGTTCATCAGAGTAGCCCCGTTCACAAGTCGTGTGGCGGATGGACTTGCAAACTTAGTATCCACAAAAATCATTCCCTTGTTCCTGCCACAACCATTTTACAAGAAATAGAGGTCAATCAAACTGATAAGTAAGCATGTCAAATGGTATTGATGAAACTAGCGCTTGAATCACTAGGAGATGCGTGGAACATGTTACTACACTACTTACTTTCGGGTGTCTAAATTGCAGCTTCTTCGGCAGTCCCGGAGCTTTTTTGGTGAATTTTCTCCAAACCCTGCCAGACAAAGAAAACAATTACTTGATATCAGGAAATGAACAAAGTTGCTGATATGGTGGATAATGATCGATTTAACTTACTTCTCGAGCATTTGAGTCATGTCCGCATAGTCCTGGGGATCTTTTCATCTCGAGTCTAAGACGGTTACTAGTCCCTACTCAAGCTTAATCTCTAGGAGAATATAGTGGAACCTGCGCATGCATGCATAACTCATCAATTACATTACTATAACCTGGACTAATAAGGGAAACCGAATATGCACAAGACAATAACACTCACTTGAAGTTGTAAGGAAAGAGTATTATATCTTTGTTTTCATTTATTACCAACGATCGTAGCAAGTTGGCCTCGGTATCTTTGGACGATATTTGACCTCAGTTGCATCTATGAGATTTTTGTTAATGAACCCAATATCACCGATTTGTCTTGTCTTCAATTCGGCGATCTTCAATCTGCATAATATAGTGAGGATAATTATAAATACATGTAATGAAAGAGTTGACCTATATAGAGAGACTTAATGACAGAAGTAGTACTACTTACAGACGGTAGCAAGTGACTGTTGCTTTATCGAGGGCCTTTTGATTGAAAAACTGGAAGAACTCCTCAAATGAAACATTCAACAGTTCAATTCCAACGAGGTCATGCTCCTCTCTAACTCTCAGCGTCAAAGTATTCCTCCTCCCAGACTCTTTGCAGGTTTTCATATACCAATCATGGAATCTTCGCATCATCATTGTTATAGATCTTTCATCTTTGACGAGAGGCTTCCCGTACTCGTATTTGTGTTCCTCCACCTCCAAGAACTCATAACGTACATCGTCGGGCAGGTAATCTCCAAGATTGCTATAACCGGGCGCCATCCTCGGATCATTAGTAGGCACATTGAGCGGGGGGCACGATTGGTTCGCTTGCTCGCCAAGCTGGGGAATTTTTTCCCCAGCTCGTCGTTCTTTTAACATTTGATCACTGACAGTACTTCCCAACCGCTCCACTTCAACAAATGACTTTGAAATAATGCGGTCATAGTTGCCTTTCGGCGGAGACTTTGCTGGTTTTTCAGGGCAGCCAGAGTGCGCTTCGCTTTCACCGGATCTACCTTCTCCTCCGGAGGTGGATGTTTCTTTGCTTTCACCCCTTCAAAGAAGTTCCTCACTTTGGCTCGCGCGATCTTGGCGTTCTCCTCCGGGGTCCTCTCGTATGGTAACTTCTCTGGAGTCTTCAGAGAAGGGCCGAATCTGTATTTCCTCCCGCCTCTAGCTGTACCGCTAGACGCTGGCAGAGCAGACGGAGCGGCTGCGGCTGTCTTCTTTCCTTGCTTACGAGGCGAAGGAGAAGGACTACGACGCGTCAGAGCAGCCGGAGCAGCGGCGGGTCTCTTCCGCCCTTGCTGACGAGGCGGAGAAGGAGGAGGCTGGCTGCTCGGGCGCGCCGGCGCAGGCGGAGAAGGAGGCGGAGTGCCGCCACGCGCCGGAGAAGGAGGCCGAGTGCCCTGATCGTCACTCACCGGAGGAGGAGGCGGTGGAGGAGGCGGAGTGCCCTGACTCGCCGGAGAAGGAGGCGGTGGAGGAGGCGGAGTGCCCTGACTCGCCGGAGGAGGAGGCGGAGGCATCCAGTTCGGAAGGTTGATGAGCTCCTTCCACCATAGGCATGGAGTCTTCAGAGCAGAACCCAGCCGAGTCTTCCCATTCACCGGTAGGGTGGTCAAGCTGGAGGTCCTCAAATCCCTCCGTTATTTCATCCACCATCATCCTAGCATATCCTTCTGGAATCGGCCGGCAGTGAAAAGTTGCGCCGGGTTCAGTAGGAAAAACAGAGCCAACAGCCGACTTGACCTTCAAATTCATCCATTGCGTCATAAGGTGGCAATTTTGAGACTCCATGATAGCATCCACGGGATAGCTGGCAGGAGCCGTCAAGACATGCTTCGGCTGAAGCAGCTCGGTGGAAGCCACGCTGCTTCTCCGCTGAGATGGTGGGGTAGCTTCGGGGGAAGCTTCGGTAGGTCACTTGCTGCGATTTGCTTCTCGTTCCTCTATCGCTTGTACCCTTGCGTGCAGCGCCTGAATTTGGGCATGCTCCACTTTTTTCCTCCTCTCCTGGCAGTTGTAACCGCCCGCGTCTGGAAAACCAGCATTCCACGGAACGGAGCCTGGCATGCCTCGTGTTCGTCCAGGGTGCTCAGGATTCTTGAGGGCCATTGTGAGCTCGTCGTTCTCTCTGTCTGGAACGAATGTCCCTTGCTGCGCTGCATCGATATAGTGCTTTAGCTTCTTGACTGGTATGTTCATTTGCTCGTCCGTCCAAACGCATTTCCCTGATACAGGGTCCAAGGTTCCGCCAGCCCCGAAGAACCAAGTCCAGCAACGGTCTAGCTAGTTCATTGTCTCTGGTTCGATCCCTTTATCAAGCAGATCATTCTCAGCCTTGGCCCACTTAGGCCGGGCTTTGAGGAAGCCACCTGACCCCGTGCGATGGTGAAGCTTCTTCTTTGCAGCATTTTTCTTGTTTGTCACCGACATCTTCTTACTCTTTTCCGATGTCTTGTAGGCCACAAATGCGGGCCAGTGATCTCTGATCTTCTCATATCTGCCGATGAATTCTGGTGTCTCTTCTTTGTCGACAAACGTTTTCAGCTCATTCTTCCACCTCCTGAATAGGTCTTCCATCTCCTTAAGAGCATGAGACTTGATTAATTGCTCTTTAACTGGCTTCTTCGGATCCTCCTCTGGCGGTTGGGTGAAATTTGCCTTCAGCTCAGTCCAAAGATCATCTTTCTGCATATCATTGACATAAGACACCTCAGGGTCTTTGTTCTTAGGCTTACACCATTGCTGGATGCTGATCGGGATCTTGTCCCTAACAAGAACCCCGCACTGAGCATCACATGCTTCCTTTGTCCGGATGGGTTCAATCGGCATGCCATCGCGCGCGATTTTTATGATCTCAAACCTTTCATCCAAGCGCAACTTTTTCTTCGGGCCTCGTCTCTTTACCGAAGTTGTGCTCGATCCGGAGGGCTAGAAAAAAGAAGAATTAGACGAGAGTTAACTAATATGTGTACATACCAAAACAATGAATGCATCAGTTAGCTAGTCATCACAGGCTTAACTAATATATTTACCTGGCCGGACTCTGTTTGGTCACCGAAGCCGTCACCACGGGCTCCGTCTTGCACCAGCATTGGGTCACCGGAGCCATCATAATCATGTCT